AAAGAAAAACAGTGTAACTGAGAGGAAAAGCTTGGCAGATCTGCCTTCATTTTGTATCTGTCTCCTTTGCTTACTTAATCTTTGGGTCAAAAAGTTACTACACAGCCCCACAGCCCTGTAGGCATGTTAAACATCAAATGGAATTTTGCTGGTGACCTAACAGTGATGCAAACAGCCCCTTACCCAAAACTTGCTTCCTGCAAGGAGATGAAGTATATACAGAAATGATGACTGGATTGTTAAGGACTTACAGGAACACTGTGGCCAGACCTATGTCAACAAAATGACTGGAGTCAACTAAACAAGGATGAGGAGTTTCCCAGCCTCCTTAGACCATTGCTGATGTCCAGATGTCTGAGGTGGGTCGTCACCCACTGACCTCAATCCCCTCCAGTTCCCCACTTCCCTAATAAAAAAGAAACTTAGAATCAACCTTAAGTTAAAGTGCTGCACTGGGACATTAGTCTTCCATTTTTCCGGTCTGCTGGTTTTCTGAATAAAAACCTAGTCTGTGGACCTTTTGGCCTGTGTGGCGAGTGGCATGAGCTTAGACTCGGTGACAAAAAAAAGACTGTATTGGTAGCTATGGAAGTGGTCAGAAATATTCTATTTGAGATTTTTTTATATGTTTCTGAGCTGCATGCTGTTACATTTTTCACTTTTATCTAATGTGAGGACATTTACTCATTTTAAAGCAAAGTTCACCCACGTGAAACATAATTTCCTTTTACTTTGTTATTGTTTTTCCATTTTAAAAAATATTTTAAAAATATTTTGCTTCTTTTTTTATACATGGATTCCATTTAATTGATTTAATCTGCAGGATTTTGGAATGCTGACATCCTGCTTTATGTTCTCCTCCATATTATTTTTATAACATTATTAAACAAACCTATGCTTCATTTTAATAAGGTCCATGTTAGAAAATAATTTTATAACAATATTGGTAAATTTTCCCATTTTTCCTAGTTTGTATTTGTTCATTTTTTCTGATGTAATTTTCTTCTTTAACTGAGGTTCCTGCAGTGTTTTTACTGATAATGTTGATGTGGACCACTTGGTAAAAGAAGCATTTTCTTATTTCTTACTGAAGTGCTTTTTTTTATTTTGATAGTGTGTTGTGAAAGTTGCATCTATTCAGTGTTTTTCCTCATTCTTTCTATAGCTGCACAGTATTAGACCTTTAAAATGCAACCACTGCCTTATTTGGGGGTGTTTATCCCCCCTATTTTGAAATCATAAACAATGGTACACTAAGCTTGCACAGTTATATTTTGTTTTGTGTGTGGTATAATTTTATGATAGATTCCTGGAAATACATTACATGCTCAAATGTTAAGTCCATTTCTGGTTTGTTAGGTCTTGTCAATTTTCCCTCCTGAAGCTTTATACAAAATTACATTCCTTGTTTTTTTTTTATTTGTTTTATTTTTTTATACAATGTAACATATTACCTGTTTTTCCACAGCTTCACTAATAGGATGGGTCATCACATACTTTCATTTTTGTTAGTCTGGTTGTTTAGAAATGGTAATTTATTATTTTAGTTTACAATTCTCTAACTATGAATGAGTTTTTTTCCCATAAGTGCCATTTAAAAAATCTTTTTACACCTTTTTTTAAAATTGAAGGATAGTTGATATACAACCTTATATTGGTTTCAAGGATACAACACAGCGGTTCATATAATTAAATCCTCACCCCCATTAATGCAGTTAGTATCTATCAACATAGCATGATGTTACAGAATCTTTGGCTATATTCTCCATGCTGTACTACCATCTCCATGACCAACTTAAACTATGATTGAGAATGTTTGTGCCCTTTTATCCCCTTCACCCTCTCCTTCCACCTACCCCAAACCCCCACCAATGGTAACCACAGTCACTTCTCAGTCTCTCTGAGTCTGAGAACAAAACTGCTATTTTGTCTATTTTGTTTTGTTTTAGATTCCACAATTAAGTGAAATCATATGGTATTTGTTTTTCTCCACCTGGCTTATTTCATTAAGCATAATATCCTCTAGGTCCATCCATGTTGTTGCAAATGGCAGGATTTCTTTCTTTTTTAAAAAATCATTTTTGTGAATAATCTGTTCTTTCCTAACCAATATGTTTTCATTTTTACTATCAGGTTTTCCATCACTTGACCTCAATTTCTAAGAGTTATTTATATATTAGAGATATATAAATCCCTAATAAAATTATATCTTGCGCTTTATAGTATATGCTAAGAATATTTTCTTCTCTATATGATATTGTATTCTTAGTTGGTTTATGCTCATTTTTTCATGCAAACATTTTCAATTATAAGGCAGTCAACTTATTCCTTTTTTTATTGACTCCAGGCAATAAAGTTGAAAGCCTGTGGCTACAGGATGTGTAAGAGGGATTCTTCTAAATTTTCCTCTCGTATAAGTATGGATACAATCAGATTCCTCTCGCATATCTTGCATACACTTAGACAACTAATTCATAGGATTTGTTTTTGAGTAAGCTATGAGAAATGAATCTAACTTTATCTTTTTCCCAAGTGGCTACCTAGTTATCCCAGCATCATTTATTAACAAGTTACTTTCAATCTTAGTGATAGGAGACCCCATGTTTGTCATATATATACTAAGTTTCCATATGTGTTTCATTCTGGGTATGAACTTTCTATTCTATTTTTCTGATCTATTTGTTCCTCAGCTGTTATCAGCTCTTTGTTATTTTCCTATTTTTCTTTAATATAACTTATTAAAATTTTATTTGGCTCATCAAAGATGTTTTATACTGCCCCAACAATATAGCACATGCCATCAATCTCTGAACACAATTATTGTGAAAATTGCTACCTTTTGTAGATGCCTACTGCACACTGGGAAGAATCCTAGTCACTTTATATCCATGTTTTATTGATTCCTCAAAATAATTCTGCAAGTAGGTTTTATAATCTCTCTTTTAACAACTAAACTGAGGCTTAGAGGGTACTAGAAAAATTGCTCAAGGTCACTCTAGAAAACAATAAAGCTGAGATTTAAAGTTTATCTTTCCAACTCCAAAGTGTATATTATTCAAATCAATTTATCTAATTTCTTTTTCAACAGTTGGCGGGTAGATTTAGTTTATAGATGAGGCTCTGGGGAAACCTTCATATGAAAGCTTCATGTAAGCTCTGGAAAACACCACCTCATTGCCAGTACGTACCTTCTCTGAGAAGAGAGCAATCTTGGCTAATTTCACTCTTAAACATTATCAAGTGTCAACCAAAGGAGAAGAAACTTAGTATTTAATTGTTAGGAGCTTGTGGTCAGTGAAAACACACACTCAAAACTGAATCGGTTATGTATTCTGTTTGCCAGTTTATTTTTGAGTTTTAAAAACTTTGTATTTTATTTTAAAATAGTCTGGATTTAGGATATAAATCAGCAAGACATACCTTGCTTTAAATTTCATAAAATCAGGTTCTATAGTATTGTTGGGCAGCTGCGTATGGGGAGGTATCTCCCTGTGCACTAGGTGAAACCTCAGTTTGGACCAGGGAGGATTCTTGCCTCTGATTGAAAACAAATTCTTGAACAGATAGGATGAGTGTAGGTGAGGAAGCAATTCATTAAGTGAAAGAAGCAGTGAATGGCAGCAGCCATACAGGCAGTAGAGAGCAAGGAAGAACAGAGGGAGGAAAGGGGAAGGTCAGTAACTCCTGCTCTGCTCAGGGCAGATCCCTGGCCAACTCCTGAAGCCAGAGTCACCTGACATCCAAAGTTCTACTTGAATCTGCATGGCATGGGGACTAAGCCTCTACCACTCCAGGATTTGGGGGAGCTGCAGAGCACTGGATGTAGTGAAAGTATGTTCTGAGAACTTCCCAAAGGCAAAGAAAGGAGATTTGGGGGCAAGTAACTAAAGACATGATCATACAATTGCAGTCCTGTCCAGGTCACCCAAGCAATGGGAACTTGCAAGCCTGAATCAGATCTCTCAGTAGCCCTTCCCTACTTGTCTAAAGTAGAACAGAGAGATTGAAGATTTGTGCTTAAGTCTAGAAAATTGAATGAAATAGCAAAGTAACAAAAATGCTTACCACTGAAAGAGCACAGAGACAAAATGCAATAACTTGAGCAGAGAGAAGTCTTTATTTAAGACAAAAAGTACACACTTGAAGAAAGGGTAGTATGGACAACCTCAGAGAGCAGGTGCACATAAAGGTTTGGGATTCTGTCTTTTAAGGCTCTCAAGAATGGGGCAAAGGGTTGGGGGGTGTTGGGCACAGGCTTGACATATGGCCTTGAGATGTCTATCTTCAGTGAGAGACACTGTCACCATCCCTAGTCAATCTTCTAGATATTCTGTAAGATAAACTTAACACAAGGAATTTCTTGATCCTGTTCTCCAAAAGAGCAGTTACCCTCAAGCAGGGGGGACATATCATATAGGACTGTTGCTCTGCCTTAAGACAGGGTCAGCTATTGCCTGATCACCATAAAATATGTTTGAAACCTTACCTCCTAACTCCCTGGTGTTTAAATGGAATCTTAGCCTTAATATGGAGTCCCTCCTGTTCTTACTATGCTATGTATATTTCAGCATTTTCAGTTATAGGCAGGAAAAATGAATCACGATGCATGTCCCACATCCCTGGCCCATCTCATTTCCCCCTCAAGGAATGTGGACTCTTGAAATCTTTCCGGGTAAAGTGGGTGTCGGTCGTTCATCTGTGGCTGCTTCCTGCTGAGGGGGGCGCTGTCCCTGCCTGTGGGTCCAGCAGCTCCTTGCTGTCTGTCAGGGAGAGTGAGGTCATGGAGCTGACTCAGCCATGGCCGAGATGGACAAGGGCACACAAGAGGAGGACGCAGCTAAGTGGCGGGGCTGCTGATGTGGGTCTTCATCAGCTTTGGGGATGGGCTGAAATCCTTGTCTGAGCGACGCCTGGAGTTGGCTCTTCTGGAGGGAACAAACTTGACAAGGAGATTAAGGATACGTGCACAAAACTGACAAATCAGTTACGTACTCTATTTATGAGTTTTAAAAACTTTGTCAGTATTTTATTTGAAAGTAGTCTGGATTTAGATTATAAATCAGCAAGACATATTGCTTTAAATTTCATGAAATTAGTTTACATAGGAGAACTATAAAAGAGCCATACAAGTTTAATGTGTGTCTATTAATTTCTTAGTGATTTATTAGAGCTTAATGCAGTCTTATTTAAATCCTGGACATTTTAAGTATTGATAAATTCAAAAATCAAGAATTACTAATTGAGTAAAATAATCATATCGTTAATTTGGATTTAAAGTTGGGAATGCATAAGCACAATCAAAAACACCAGAAATAAGAAAACTTAAGGCTGGGATCACATCAAATTTTGAAATTGCTGTTGCTCAACAAATTATCATTCATTTTTAATTCATTAATCATATCCAGAAACGTTGAATTAAAGATTTTAACAATTATTTCTAAAAACTCTAGAAATAGCTTCCTTGCCTCATGTGTCTTCATTAAAGTTTTCCATACAGGCAAAGATAATGAACCTGGAAAAGATTTAAAGTTATTACATGTCAATTTAAATTTATACCCTATTGTTATAACATTTACACAAAATTCTATGTATTTTGCATACAAATATTAATTTTATTACATGATAATTATACATATAAAGCTTTTAAGTTTAAAATTAACTAACTAGCTCTTCATATAAAAAACAATAAGAAATATAAGTAACCAGAAAACTGAGAAAAGTACACAAACACATTTAAAGAACTGTAAATTCATATAATGGTGAAGTAGCATTTTCTATATAACAAACTAACATAAAGCATTGAAATCACTATATGGTAGTGGATTTGAAACAGGAATCTAAATTCATAGTCTGAAGACAAAAATGTAAACCCCTGAAATCTTTGAGTACCATTTCGCAATATATGGCCCACTGATTTTAATTCATTTCTTAGCTACAAATTTATTGGTAAAATCATAAATTATGTGAATAAAAGGATACATACAATGGCATTGTCATATTATTTCTAATACCTTATAACAGAAGGTGATGTTCACAGTTATGATAAATCCATTAAATGAAATACTACTATCCTTTCAATAGAATGAGTTGGATCAGTATGTCCTGATATGGGAAAAGCTCCAAAATTTTTTCTAGTAAAATATGTATAATGCAGAGCAGTGAATATATTTTAATTTATGCAAACAACACAGGTTTAATTTATATACTTGCTTGCACTGTTTTATCTATTTAAAATATTCTAGGAATTTGCACCAAAGATTGATTTTTAAAAATTGAGTGAAGGACTAAGATATTTAAGTGAAAAGAGATGGTGAAGCAGACTTCTATTTTCATTTAATAAACATCTCAACACTTAGACTTTTTAAGTTTGAGTATATTAAATACATTTTAAAATAAATCAATAAAAGACACAATTAAATACATTTTAAATAGAGAGAAAATAATTTAGTTAAAAAAATCAATTGAAGAGAAGAAAATTGATTCAATTTCAGGTTAACTCTGTTCATGTATATGAAGCAACAGTTTGACAGTATCCTGAACCCTTGGTCCCAGGATTCTAGACTCTTTGGAGATGGTAGGATAATGCTGAACTTCCATGGAGAATTATTTCCATAAACATCCTTTATTCTTTTCCATCAATATAGTATGTTACCTGATTGGTGGATAAGAGCATCTGGTTCATGTTTCTCAGTTAGCTAGAGCCAATCTATTAAAATTCTAAGATCCAAGAATAACGATTCTTTCTAAATCTAGACTAGTAAGGAAACAAGTTTAATTTGAAATCTTAATGCATGATTAATTTTGAGTCAGTCCCACTCAGGCACATCCAACAGCGAAGCAAAGGGCTGACACCAGATTTCAACTTATCCTAGAGAACAGATTTCAGAATGCAGGATGATTGTTAAGGAAAAACAGCACAGGCTTTAAAATAACATGGCCAGGATGCAAATCTACTGGCTCATTTACCAACAGGTGGATTATTTCAATTTACAAAGCCTCTGTTTTCTATCAGTAAAATAACGGTAATGATATTTTTATGAAAGCGTTGTAGTGATTTGTATATGTGATAATGAAAAAAAACCAAAAAACACCACCTGACAGGATTTCAGGCATGGGGTAGGTATATAATAAAAATGAGTTCCCTTTCTCATGATAACCTCTTAATTTTACATGGCACCCATTATTTATTTTCAATTCAATACAATAGATTATTAGATTTGAAATTTAATGTTTTTAAATGAGACAATATAACATTGTATTATTTTTAGGTGTACAACATAATGATTCTATATATATGGAAATGATTACAATAAATTTAGTTGGACCTAGAGGGTATTATCATGAGATAAATCAATCAAAGAAAGAGGAATATCATACAGTTTCACTTACATGTGGAATCTGAAAAACAAAACAAACGAACAGTACAGAAATTGACTAATAAACACAGAGAATGGACAATTGGTTACCACACAGGGATGGGAGGGTGAAATAGGTGAAGAGGATAAAGAGGTACAAACTTCAACTTACAAAATAATTTAGTGTATAACATAGAGAATATAGCTCATAATATTTCACTATATTTCCATGGTGACAGGTGGTAACTACACTTAATATGGTGAGCATTTAATAATGTAAATAATTGAATCACTAAGCTGTTCATCTGAAGCCAATATAATGTTGTATATAAACTATATTCCAATAAAAATAATAAAAAATATGTTTGGCTAACATCCACCATCACAAATTGTTACAAGCTCTTTTCTTATGATGAGAACGTTTAAGATCTACTCTTTTAGCAACTTCAAAATATACAATACCGTATGGTTAACTATAGTCACCACACTGTACATTACATCGCCAAGATTCATCTTGTAACTGAAAGTTTGTACCTTATGACCGCCTTCATGCATTTCACCCACCTTCTACACCCTGCCTCTGGCAAACATCAATATTTATTTTGTATCTATCCATTTGATTTATTTTTCTTAGATTTCAAATAAAAGTGAAGTCAGGTGATATTTGTCTTTCTCTTTCTGACTTACTTCACTTAGAATAATGCCCTCAAGTTTACCCATGTTGTCACAAATGGCAGGATTTCCTTTTTTCATGGCTGAATATTTCTCTCTCTCTTTCTGTGTGTGTGTGTGTGTGTGTGTGTGTGTGTATGTATCACATTTTCTCTAACCATTCATCCATTGATGGACACAGATCATTTCCATGTCTTGGCTATTGTCAATAATGCTGCAATGAGCATGGGGGCTGCAGATATCTTTCCAACATAGTGGTTTCATTTCCTTTGGGTAAGAAATGGAATTGTCCATTTCTGGATAGAAATGGAATTGTCAAATCATATGATAGTTCCATTTTAATTATTTTTAAGAAACTCCATACTATTTATATAAAGGCTGCACCAATTTAAATTCCGACCAACTGCGTGCAAGTGTTCCTTTTTCTCTGCACCTTCATTAACACATTATTTCTGTCTTTCTGATAATAGCCATTCTAACACATGAGAATATATCTCACTGTCATAATTATTGATGTGTGCATTTCCGTAATGATTAGTGATATTGAGCACCTTTTCAAGTACCTGTTGGATATCTGTTTGTCTTCTTTGTTGAAATATCTTTTGAGATCTCCTGCCCATTTTTTAATCAGATCTTTTCTTTCCTCTCTGTTGAATTGTATGAGTTCTTTATATATTATGGATATTAACCTTTTGTCAGACAAATGATATACACCAGATTTCCTTTTCATTTTGTTGATGGTTTCCTTTGTTGTGTGGAAGCTTTTTAGTTTGATATATATAGTTCCACTTGTTTACTTTGCTTTTGTTGCATTTCCTTTTGGTGTCAAATACTCCTGCACCAAAAAAAAACAATTGCCAAAACTGATGTCAAGAAATTCACCCCCTGTGTGTTCTTCTAGGGGTCTCTTTGGGTTCCTCTTATTTGGAACTCTCTGAATTTCCTGGATCTGGATGTCTGTTTCCATCCCCCAGGCTGTAGAAGTTTTCAGCCATTATTTCTCTAAATAATTTCTCTGCCCCTTTCTCTCTCTCTTCTCTGGGATGCCTATAATCCAAATATTGATCTACTTGATGTTGTCCTATAAATTCCTTTGAGCTGTCCTCACTCTTTTTTATTCTTTTTTTCTTTTGACTCCTCTTAAAGGATAGATTCCCCTGCCCTGCCCTCCAGTTTGCTGACCTTTTCTTCCACTTCACCCAGGTGGTTGTTGAACCTCTCTATTGAACTTCAGCTCAGTTATTATATTCTTCAGCTCTGTGATTTCTGCTTGGCACTTTCTTATATTTTCTCTCTCTATGTTGAAATTCTCACTTTCTTCATTCATTGTTCTCTCAACCACAGTGACCATTTTTATGACCATTATTTTTAAGTCTTTATGATTTACCTCCATTTTGATAAAGTCTTTTTATGAGGTTTTATCTTCTTTCATTTGGAGTATATTCCTCCATTTCTTCTTTTTTGACTTTCCTGTTGGTTTCTATGCTCTAGATAAAACAACTAACTATCCCAGCTTTGAAAGAGTGACCTTGTGTAGGAGAAGAACCTTATCATTCAACCCTGCCCTTGCTCTTGGTTGTATCTCAGTCCTTCATGATTATCCAAGAAGCTTTCTTTGTTCTTAGTGTCAAGGATGTGCCAAGACCTATTAGTGTCCCAAAAGGGGAAGATCTCAGCCAGCACGTGGATGCAAGCTAATTGTAAACCAGATCCTCAGGCAGCAGCTTTGCGTATTATCGCCTAGTAGAACCTGTGAACTTAAGCCCCACTTGCCACCAGAGCCAGGTGATCAAGGGGTATCCCCTGAGTGGCAACTGCAAAAAACAGGGCACCAGAACTATGGACAAGCTCCCTTCTGTGAGATGGCAGCAGGCTGGAAAGAAGCAAAGGAAGAATACAAAGATGGAACCCACCAGGCCTCTTTGATACAAACAGTGGGCACATTTCAATCTGCTGCCTCTGTTCTGGACCCTGGACATTTTGCCATTTACCAGAAAGTCTGCAAGCCCTTAAAGAACTGTCTATTAGTTCACTTTTGCTCTTGGGTCCTATGGATTATGGATTCAAGCCCTCTTTGCTTCAAAGCTTGATGATTTGGATAGCTATCTGTAAGGAAGGCTTAAAAAATCAGGGTGCCAGATGTGAGGCCCAAACCCCTCACTCTTCTGGGAGAAGATGGTAGTTGTGAAATCCCTCCTTGTTGTAATCATGCCAGAGGTGGGATTTATGACAAGTCTGGGCCACAGTTTTTCCTTCCCACTTAAATGTGGGTTTTACTCTTATTTGCCCAATGTGTAAGAGTCACTCTACTAGTTTCCAGATTTCTCTCAGAGGGATATTGTTCTGTACATGGCTGTGATTTCGGTGTGTCCATAAAACCAGCAGCCTCCTATGTTGCCACCTGAATTAAAGCTTCTGAGACGCCCAAGCTCATTTCCTCCCACCTCTTCACACATTGTACTTTAACAAACAGTTGTCCTCATTCACAGAAAGGAGGAGGTGGTGATGACTAGAGTGGAGAAGGAGGCAACAGCTTTCTTGGTTGGTTTGTTTTCCTTCTCTGCTTATTTTAATATTCCAAGGCCTTCGCCACTGTGACTGACTTCTGAGTGCCAGTGAGAGCACGGAGTAATTGGTCATGAGAATGATGACCAGACGATCTAAATCCCTCATTACACAATGTCTGCCCAATTGGGCTATCAAGCCTCACTTTTTTTCACAAGTAGTTTTCAACATTTAATGTCCCATTTTTTTCTCATGAAAGCAACTCAAAATTGCATATTAAACCCAAAACAAAATTTCAGTAAAATCTGATCTTATAGTAAAATCATATAGGATTGCACTTCAATGCTTTAAGTGAAATAACTTTCAAATCTCCACTCAGTTCTCCACCCTTTACATCTTAAGAGAAAAGAGCCATGGAGCCAGTGTAGAGGATCCAAGACTAGAATGCCATGATGTTATCTGATAATTTGGCAGAGATGGGTAGGTGATCATCAAAGCTCATGCTTTCCCTTTCCTGGTGTATATTCATCACACAACAGTAGTTCTCAGGCAACGACTTAATTCCCTAGCCCACTTGCATCCAGATAGGGGGAACTGTGAACAGTTTGTACCTGTAGAGTATGAGATAAAGAGGAAGAAATATCCAGGCCTTCTCCAAATGCAGCAGTATCTTCCTGTTGGTGGGGTGTAGATAATTCCAGGGGCTGGAAGGGCTTCAGTGTGCTACTCACTGTGTAAAGAGAAGCTGCCACCGAGAACTCTGCACTGGGTCATTAATGGAGCAAGAAGAAACTCCAATTGCATGAAACTCCCAAAATGTTTGGGTTTATTTGTGACTCTAACTAATGCAAATAAGATTTCAAGAACATATATTTAATGTATTTATGTTGACTTTGCTTTCATAGCATTCATATTCATTGTTTGTTTTAAAAATACTAATATTTTAGAGCATAAGCACGTATCTGGAAAACTGGGATTTTATGGTAATTCAAACTTGCAATTAAAAATTCCTTCTGTTTTTCATTCTGCTAGGAAACCCCACAATGAAGGGGCTGGAGCATGACTACCAAGGCTGGATGCAGGGAGTTCACAGAAGTCAGTTTATTCGTGTTCCCCATTAATCATGGCAGGTTTCCTTTTGAGACTGATTTATCTTTTTTTAAATGTAAAAGCAACATATAAGGAAAAAAAAATACTGTAATAACAGAAAAGAAATATGTAAGCTTGTAGATGAAAAAATGGACTTATAATCTGGTGGCTGAATTCATGGGTCAGGACAGGCCGTGACTGGAAGAACAACAGTGTGTGGAATGGGCACCCAAATGAAATAATGACTTTCTTTGAAAGTATGTGTTCTAACGATATATATCTATGATGTAATCATTTTTTCTACCTATATTTATCCAATGTAATATTGATTTTCTTTAAGGTATTGCTTGTAAGGCACCTTACCTATAGAGTTATCTACTTTGTAAAGTAGATTTAGACTAAGCAGGACCGTGTTCTGAAAGTTAGTAAAGTCACTGATGAAGGGGCCTCTGTCCCCATTAACAAACATTCGTGATGGGAGACCCTTCTGGAATTCATGAACTCTAATCAAGGTTGTAGGAAACAGCGATGCACCTAAATATTTCACAGCTGTAGCCCAATTTCTTCCAAAGTTCGCTTCTGGTTTGGATAAATATTCCAACCTAAAAGACAAGTGGAAACATGTACAATTATAGTTAGTCCATTCAGAATTTCAGCCTCATTGTTTTCTGGAAAAGACCATCTTTTGCCAACAAACTAAAACTGTAATTCTTAGTTTAGAATGTGATAGCTTGAATTCCTACCTTTGAAGATATAAATAGAGGTAATTAAAATTTTTAATTTGGAAAAGCCCATCCCATCAACTGTTGTATTTTATTTTGAGTTTTTAACCTTTTAACTAACATCTTAAGCTCGAATATCATGATAACCAGATGTTAGACTATCACTATGTAATGCTCTTTAAAAATGTGCCGATAAAAATCAGTTACCAAAGCAAAATTTTTGCTAGACTCACATATCCTTTGTAAAGCTTGATTTCTTGAAGTCAGGGGACCCCTTAAATACTAAGCATCCTAAGAGAAACATATGTCCAATTTTCTTGTCTGACTTTCTAAATACATGGTTTTGTTTCCTACTGGAGAAGGCCTGCCATATTTTTACTTTGAGTAATATGAGATAATATTGAACTCTGTCTGGTCTACATAAACTTAAAATAAAATTCTGTGTTCTTGGATCCTAAGATTGGCTGGCACATGTATATTTTTATTCTTTCTACTGGAGGAAGTTAAATTCTCACACAGATTTGGGAAACAAATTATTACTGTGGAAAGGTTAAGGATGTAGTAAATAGTTTTATAACTATGTTATTCATGACTCCTGTCCCTATAACTGTCTAAGCATGCTGAAACCATTTTCAGTTGTTTAACAGGCTCATTTTCCTTGAAACATTGTCCACACTTTGCTTTGCTCACCAGCTACATTCTTTCTCAAATCACATCACAAATCACCTTCTATATAAAGTTTTCCAGCCCACCTGAAAAGGACTGGCTTTTTCCTCCTCCTCTGCATTACCATAACACCATATCATTCATATATGTAAAAGTTATTTTCTCATTACATTATATCCTAATTTCTCTGTTTTCACAGCATATGTAGGGTCCATTAAAGAGAAAATGCTTGCATTATATTTGTCAATGTTAAGTGACATAATCGAGAGGAGAAACATTGCTGTGTTTGGCCCCCATGCTCATGGGGGTACTTCCTGACTTCAACACCCAGAAGCAGAAGGGTGGATTCAGTGCACTCTTGATGAAAGAAGTTTGGTGTGGATTCACAGTTGACTATCTTTAGTCACATCACGACTAACTATGAAATAAGAATAATAGGAAATGTAAATTCATAAGGATTTGAGCAATGGCCACAAAGTCCTAGTAATGATGGATTAAACAAACTGGGAAGGAGTCAGCAACACTGAGAGAGGAAGAAAGAAATGAAAGCATTAGTTCAACACATAGAGGGCTTATGAGGAGAACTAAAATTCAATTGAAGCCTTTCAAACGATTTAATTGAATGTGTTATTGGACAATTCATCCAGTAAGTCAATTAAAATGTGGTTAAGTAAAAAGGTAAAAATATACCTTAAAAGGCTCATTTTAATTTTACATATATATATATATAAATGTTTTATATATATATAAGGTTTATAAAAATTATATATATAATATTATAAATAAATATATATATATACACACACCAACCAATCTTAGGATCCAAGACCACAGAGTTTTAATTAAGTATATGCAGAATACACAGAGTTAGGTATGATCTTATGCAAATTATAAACTGTACTATAGTTTTTACCTAAATAAAGTTAATACATAGAATTTTAATGAAGTTCTGCAGTATGTAGTAGTAGATAGCAAACATTGTGCTACTTCTTCAATATTCTCCATTCCCTGTTTTTTGGTATATAGATTTCAAATGCTCTTTCCATGCTATATACAATGTGGGGAGGGGGAAAAGAGAAGAGGAGCATAATTTCCTGCCCTTGGCCCCACCAAATGATTTGATTTGGCCAATATGGAAAACATCATCTTGACAGATAGAGAATAAAGGACAAGTAGAACAGAGCTGAGCCGTCCCACTCATCCCTGTGGGCCAGTCAGAATCAGCTAACCTGAGGTGAGCCCAGGAAAGATCAGCAGACCAGCCCAGCTAAACCTCAGACATGTGAGCAATAAACGCTTACTCTTGTGTGGCACTCTGGTTTAGTCACTGTCAATTGTGCTACATTCTAGTGAGAAAAACTAAGTGAAATAAAGGGTTACACACCCAATAAACTGTAAAGCCAAATATATAAAATCTGGCTTTAAAACTAATAGTCTTTTCAGCTGCCCTCCACTGCTTTTTGTCACAATGATTGATAATAGTTACTGTACACTGAATGCTTCTCATGCGCCAGTGATATGTTAAGCATGATGCATGGATTTCTCAAGTAATCTTCAGAAGTACCCTATGTGGTATGTACTATTATTATTATAGGTTATAAGACAAGAAAACTGAGTTTATCATTATTTGGATCCCCAGATCAAATGGAGTAAGATCCGTGTCATGCCAAAGTATAAGATTGTAACCTCTATTTTATTTTTTTCTAGGAACAACCAACAGCCTAGAACCTTCCAAATTAATTCTTAGACCTGGACAAAACAAAGGGCACACAAAGAGGCATTTGAAATTTTCTATATTAATAATCCTTAAAAGATTCACCTTCCACCAACATAATGTGTCAGAAGAATTCCATTTGACTGGGATCCTACTTTTTAAGTTTCCAGAGAGATGAATTGATAGAAAACTTTTATTCTTAACTTCAGTACTGAAACTGTCTATAAAATTTATCTGTTATATAATGAGATTATGTTGAAATGAACCTATGGAAAAAAACAATGGAAATAAATTAAAGACATAACAGAAAAGTTTTTAACAAAAAGACTGATTTTTATAGATATTAACTTTCATTACCTGCAAAAGATGCTCCCCATCATTAATCATGAGGAAAAAAACTCAGAAGGATTGGGAGAACAGTGGGAGAGACAGGAGTAACATAGTCTTAGAAACTGGAAGTCCAATAAAACAAACAAAAAAGATGTAATATAGACTGAACTGAAAACCAGATGGTGGCATGAATAGTGAGGCCAAAATTACCTCCCAAAACCACATATAACATGAAAATACAGCAAATACTACTAATCCTGAAAGAGCAACCAGAAAGAAGACTGCAATAGACAACCTACATCTGGGGAAAAGAGAAGACCTCATGGAAAAGGGTAAAGTAGCAGGTGAGAAAAACTAGGTGAAATAGTCTTCCATGATCTGGTAGGACCCAGGCCCTTGCCCAAGCCCAGCTCACAAGAGGGAGGAAGGGAAACAGAGCAGGGATGGAGTAGAAACTCAGGACTGCTAAATACTAACCCCTGGAGATCTGCTCAGGGAGCATGAACCCACCTAACATGGTGCTTTGGAGATTAGAGGGTTTGGAAAGCAAAGACAGGCAAAATACTCAGAGAGACTGAGATTCCAGCCACTTGTGGAGAACAGGTACCCACAACTGGCTGCTCAAGGACGAAAGAAAGGCAGCCACTTTGAAAGGCTTCCCAACAGTGAGAGGGCTGCAAAAGAGGCAAGGATCAGACAGAGCTTGCTGCTCAGGGAAAGGACAGGTGGACAAAATCATCCCAGCACACTCAGCCCAGAAGATTGGAAACTTTCAGGAGCTTCACATGCTCCATCCCCCTGGCTGACAGTGGGAGTGCTAAGACCCCCCACTGTGATAAGCAACCTGTTGCTCTTTCTTCCTGGCTGGCATCAGTTTACAAATCTGTTGCCCCCACCATCACACCAGGCCAGTAAGAGGGCAGTCCCACCTATGACAGCTACAAGGGTGTAAGCAGAGGCTGCTCCCTGCACGATTGGCCTACTGGCCCTGGCAGTGGAGGCAGGCATTGCAGCCAGGAAGCAGGAAAGAGCTCTTTCCTTCTGACAGGCACTGGCATTGCGTGCCTGCAACCCCCAGCATCGTTCCAGGTGCTGGGCAGCTCTAAGGAGTAGCTTCTGGGCATTAGAGTGTGCTGCCTACACAAAATTGTTATTTCATAGAAATCATTAAAAATATGACATGATGAAAGAACCTGGTACAAACCAAAATCCCTCAAACACAAAAAAGAGGGCTAAGTGAATCTGAAATCACCAATCTTCCTGATAAAGATTTCAAAATAAAAATCATAAACATGTTCATGGAGCTACAGATAAATAGTCAAGACCTCAGGGAGGTCTTCAAGAAAGAGACAGAAACTGAAAAATACAGTATCTGAAATGAAACATACAATGGAGGGATTTAAATGCCCATTAGATGAGATAGAGCAGATGGTAAATTAAATAGAAATTAGAGAAGAGGAATACAAAGATGCTGAGGCACTGAAGTAGAAGAGTGGATTCAGTGCACTCTTGAGTACTACTAAATGTACGTATCTATCGATAATCACCCTAAATATAAATGGTCTGAATGCACTAATCAACAGACATAGACTTATTGAATGAATAAAAAAACAAGACCCATCTGTATGCTGTCTACCAGAGACTCACTTCAAACCCAAAAGACATACATAGACTAAAAGTGAAGGAATGGAAAAAAGGTATTTCGTGCAAAAACAGGGAGAAAAAACAGGAGTTGCAGTACTTGTATCAGAGAAAGAAGGATCTCTAAGAATGAAAAAATAATAAGACAATTCTCTGACCAATCCAAGCAGAGCAATATTTGTATTATAGGGCTACCAGAAGAAGAAAAGAGAGAAAAAGGGATAGAAAATGTCTTTGAGGAAGTGATTGCTGAAAACTTTCCCAATTTGGGAAAGAGATAGTCTCTCAGGCCATGGAAGTGCACAGATCTCTCAATACATGGGACGCAAGGAAGACAATGCCAAGGTACATAATAATTAAAATGGCAAAGATCAAGGACAAAGACAGAGTATTAAAAGCATCCAGAGAGAAAAAAGATCACCTATAAAGGAAAATCCATCAGGCTGTCATCAGACTTCTTAGCAGAAACCTTACAGGCCAGAAGAGAGTGGCATGATATATTTAATGCAATGAAACAGAAGGGACTCGAACCAAGAGTACTCTACCCAGCAAGATTATCATTTAAATTTTAAGCAGGGATTAAACAGTTTCCAGATAAGCAAAAGTTGAGGTAATTTACCCTCCACAAACCATCTCTACAGTGTGTTTTGGAGGAACTGCTCTAGTTGGAAGTGCTCCTAAAGCTAAATACCTGTTACCAGAGAAAATAAAACCACAGTGAAGGAAGTAGACCTATTAATTACTAAGTATATGCAAAATTAAATCAACTACCCACAAAGTCAGTCAAGGGATACACAAAGAGTATAGAATGCGACACCTAACATATAAAGAGTAGAGGAGGAAAAATACCTTTAGATTGTGTTTGAAATAGCGTTATAAGCAAGTTAAGTCAGACTATTAGATAGCAAAGAAGCTGCCCTTGAACCTTTGGTAACCAGAAATCTAAAGCCTGCAATGGCACTAAGTACATATCTATCGATAATGACCCTAAATGTAAATGGTCTGAATGCACCAATCAAAAGACATAGACTTACTGAATGAATAAAAAAAACAAGACCCATCTGTATACTGGGTCTTTAAAGTTACATTCTCTAATGATTTACCTTTGTATATGAGCCTGAAAAATCTGTAAATAAAAGCAGTTACTTAGAAAGATACTTGCTATCCATCAGATCTTGAGACTCACTTCAAACCCAAAAGACATACACAGACTAAAAGTGAATGAATGGAAAAAAGATATTTCATGCAAAAACAGGGAGAAAAAAACAGGACTTGCAGTACTTGTATCAGACAAAATTGACTTCAAAATAAAGAAAGTAACAAGAGACAAAGAAGGATTCAAATGGTTCTGTGTACTCAGAAAAAAAAAAAAAAGAAAACATGTAATAGAGTCATAAAACTGAATCCTACACAACCAGAGACTGAAGATGAGAAGTAATGCTGATGCAATTTGTATTATATCTCCGAAGTCAAGACTGAGTGGTACTCTCTCTGTGAAGGGAAGTTGCTGTAATGAAGGTGATTGTTTGAAAGCTTTTTGAAGAAGCAGTCATATACAAAGATTCCCTCCTAGATTCTACATAGTAGGTAACTTCCACTTCTCACACTCAGAAGAGTACAACAGAGGGTCCCTGAACTATGTAAACTAGTCACAGTTGAAGGCAGAACAGTACATCGAAAACAGGGAGTATATGTGAATATAGTACACAGGAGAGTAAAGTCCCCGGCTCTCC